CAGTGAAAAAATACAGCTCCTGAAGCATAAGACAGTGCATGTAGGATACCGTTAAATTTTAATGATTCACATCATCTGCTCATGTTGACTTTGGCTGAGTTTTTCAGGGAAAAAGGAAGGTTGGAAAGAAGAAATGGAAAAAAAAAAAAAAAAGAAAAAGAAAAAGAGGCATTATCACAGGAAATGGTATGACTCCTCCTAATCATATTTCTTAATGTTAAATGGACCTTACTTGTCACTTACTGTATTTCCAGCCTGCAAAAGAAGAAGGATATTCTTAGGATGAAGACGTAAGAAGTTAGGACGTGGAAGATCTATGCCAATGTCCCAGTTGCCTTTGTAGTCTGGGCAAATCACGTGGTCTAGGTTCTTACAGAGCTGAGGTGAGCCAGCTTCCCGCAGGCAGTTTGCTTCATAGGCTCTGCCCCCCCGGAATAAAGGTAACACACAGCCTCATCTGTACGTGCTATAATCTTCCCGAGGCAGGGGGAGAGACTCAAAGAGAACCTAGAGACTCAAAGTTGTGTATGTGGGCATCTGCTTATCGTTGTCCTGCTTAACTTTTGGGAGCGCTGCCATTCAGACTGCAAAACATGCTTATCTGAAGAAAGACCTTCAAAAAACAAAGCATGGAGAAGAAAGAGCTGGGCAAGAAAGAAGTGCAAATGAACAAGGCATCAGACTAAGCTCACCCACTGTGACTACTCTCCCATTAGTCACCTGAAACAGACAATTTGCTCAGGTAGATGGGAAGTTCCCCATCCAGGAGACACAAAAATCCACAACTTTGTGCAACAGAGGAACCAATAAGGCCACGGGTAACATATGTATTTCAAAACAGACTTGGGTTCAAGTGCCTGCACTTGTGTCAGCACTTGAAAACTGCTCAGTTCTCACCTGAGCACTTTACCAACTGACCTGCCAGCTGCTCTTAGATCACTATTTCTCCACTTCCCTGACAGTAGCTGTTCCACTTAGAAACACTCCATGGACCAGAAAGTGAACAAAAGAAATTGTTTCTACAGCACAGTGGCTTAAGTCAGCGGTGTTGGTACTGGGGCTGCAGCCTCTACTTCAACATTTAATTACCAAAAAAAGTTGGAACCACCCCCTTTTCACCAGCATATCTATTACCACAGCAGTTACGCCTTTCTGATGGGAAGTTGAACCACCAAATTCAAGTCTCAGCTACACATCAAGCAGAGCAGAACTTCGAATCTAGCTCTTCCATCCTAGAAATAACAAAACCTATATTTTTTATTCATCAGAACATGCACAAACATATATATGCTGATCCTACTGTGTTAAGCCTGTTCCCTACTGGCAGCCTGCAGCCACCTTAGATGTGCTCTCTACACACAAGGCTGGGCCCAGCTAAGGAGAAAGACTCGTTTTGAATAATTTGTAATTCCAACACAGTATCAAGGGGATGATTTAAGTGTTTTGGGAATTTTGTTGACGTCACCTGGAAAAAAAGCCCGGAAGCAGCTCAGCAATGTATCTGAGAACATCAACAGCAGTTAGGTGCCCACAGGGTAAGTTGCGTATATTTATGCTGTGCCTGAGACAGCGTCTCACAGATCCTAGGAGAGGTTTTGAATATTCCTGTTGTTTAGTGCATTTGGGGTAGCTACTCAGAGTTTTGATACATTTCATGGAATCTAGTTTGCCTCTGAGTGCCATGAGCACAATATGACAGTCTTATCACGTAGCCTAACATTGTACAATTTCTTATGAAGAGGTGTAGGACAATATGCTTTGAAACCTCTACATTGACTTTAGGAGCCATTCCCAGAACTGTTGGAGCAGTAGCTATGGAAGCTTACATCTGGGTCCCACTGACAGAACAGGAGCTGAACAAGTCACTGTGACCATTAAAGGGCAAGAATTATGGAAGGCTGGATGCAGGAATTCATCTTGGAAGGAAAAGAATAAGAGATTTGTTTTAACTGAGTGATATTTTTCAATAATTTACCATTTTTACTTTGGCCTACACAAAGATCATATTGCTGTGGTTTAATCCCAGCCAGCAATCAGGATCATGTAGCCCCTCGCTCACTCCCTTCAGTTGGGATGGGGTAGAGAATCAGAAGAGTAAAAGTAAGAAACATATTTTTGATATAGGTCATGAAAAAGATCTCATTGGAGATACTGGAACTCATACTAGAGTTTTATGGTTTTAATTTCTTAATGGGACCAGGGCTGGGATGATATATGTTAACATATTAAAGGTTTACAAACATGAGAGGTGTAAGGCTTTCCTACTTCATAATCTGATTTTCCATTCCATCACTCCTCTTTTCTGTTGATCACCATGCTCTGCAAGTACCTCTATTTTATGTAAAAGAATTAAATCCTTGCCATAAACATTTCAAAATCTTCATTCATCAGTCCGTTAAAGGTCTTCTTGTTAATAGACAAATATTTTACAGAACTGGATTAAAAAAAGACAGAAATGGCTTCAAAGAATATGAAAGAAAGTAAGAAAAGCAAAGACCATGAAAATTTAAAAGTTCAGAGCATCAGTCCCAAAAGTATGAAGAAAAGCAATGCAGTACCTCATCTTTAACAAAAGGAATCATTTATCATGACACTTAAATGCATTAACAAGCCACGCCTGCATCAGAATGGCTGTGACAAGGCAAACCTGCTAATGTGGGATTAGTTTAACCAATTTAGAGAACAAATTAGAATAAAAGGGTGTCTTGCACGTCCAGTTGCTATGTTGGAGGTCCAAGGCAGGGGGGGTGAATAGTTGTGAAAAATGCTTTTTCAGCAGCCGAAAAGGCAAGGTTACACTGAGTACAAAGCAGCCCCACTGAATACAAGGCTGGAGAATGTTCCACCACACATGCAGGAGGGTTATTTCCAGGCACAGCGCTATGGATCTTCAAATTCTCCCTTCTCCAGTGACTTTTTAAATCTCTTTTTTTGCTGATATTTTTTTTTTTTTTCACCAGTGAGATTAGCGTATGTATATTGTGGAAAATAGAGAAGCAAACTGCACCACTCCATGACACGGAGCATTTAACCTGGGAGAGAGCAGCATTCCTTGGCACAGCTCACACCTACCCACTGCAGACTGGAAAGCTGGAAGCACCCAACGCCCAAGGCAACTGGGGACTTGTCCTGCCCCAGAGCAGTCTTGACCTCAAATTAGTGAAATGTCATCATTTAATATTCCCAAGAAATTTCTGTATTTCCTTTGTTAAAAAGAAAGTGCTTCCTCCTGTTCTCCTGTTCCTTTCTCAGGTCCTTGAGCCACTGCTTGTGCTGGGACTGAACTGGGAGAAACAATTGAGCAACACAGTGAAGGAACAAAAAGGGAGGATTTATTCCTATTCTTTATAAGGAAAAAGAAGAATAGTACAAATCAAAAGGTACTGATGGGAATATGTATCTGAGCAGACACAGGTACCAGAGCGAGAAGATCTTTTCTCTTTAATACTCTTATAGTTTATTGAATGCAACCAAGCAATGTGAAGTCAATTAAAGGTTTATCAAAAAGGGACAGTTCTTTATAAAGAAGTCTTCAAAAGTGATTGACCATCCTACAAAATTATTTTTAAAAGTTTGGTACTAAGTACTAAACAGAAACACATATTTAAATTTAGGCCTGTGGTTAAAGCAGATTGCTCTGCTAGGGTCCAACGTCTGAATCAAAAACCAGAAAAAGAACTCAAGTGCATACATATGTATTTGGATGTGGATTCAAATTAATTAATTTCAACTGCTTTTCAGCTGAAATTGTTATAGGTTAAAATGGTAAATAAAAAGAAGAAATACTGCTTGCCCAAGCAGCTACAAAGATTAAACATATTAAGTCCAGAATCTACCAATAAAAAAATAGACTCCTTTCCAGAAGTTACAGCAAGTTCTTTAACATATTCAGAGGCAGATATCGGGAAGTAAGACTACATCAGTTACAGTCACTGTTAATTTCACAGGAGAAATGCACGGGATTTTACTTTTGCACACACTATTGCAATCGTATTATTTATTTAATTAGTATTAAAATATAAGCTAATTATAACAAATTCAGTTCCTTAGCATGTGTCTACACTTCAGCCCGCTGCCCAGTGTAAATATGAGCCAGCTTGCCTGCCAAGAACAGCCTGCCTACTTCAGCCAAGAAGTGGGGCAAATAAGCTCTGCTGGTAGAGATAGGCACTTTCCAGTCTCCAGCCTGGCTGGTTTATAACAACTTCAGGGTTTAGTATATTGCACTGTTGCTGGCAGTGTTGACATACCCTCATTTTAATAACTCTGCGGACAGCAAGAAGCCATCAGCAAAACACACCGTGGTTCTCAAGAACAGCTTCAGAGCTGTGAGCTGCTAGTGAATAGCAGTCTTTGTGAGGGCAGCATGATTTATAATCGGTATACAGAGCCCCCGTGATTAATATTCATGCTACATATCCCAGAATAAATAGGAGATGCCAGTCTGATCCAAAACCCTCTGAAACTGATGGAAATCTTTCAATTGACTGCAATGGGCTCTGGGTCAAGCCCCAAGCGTCCAAGTGTGTTTATACCTTTTAAAAAGAAGAAGGAATTCACTCTCCACATGTTTCAGTCCCTCACATTTATTGTCAGCAAACCTCTGGCAAAAGAATACCTTCCTCTGCAATGGGACTCTCACTGAAGGCAGTAGGAGCTATATATACAGAGACTGAGGACATAATCTCAATGTAAAACCAATAACAAATTGGAAAGAAACTTGATTTTGAAACCACACAAGACAAAATTTAGTGAGAAAGCAAATCTTTCTCCGTAAGAAGTACAAAATAACTAAGGTTTTGCATACCTGCAGGTTTAGAAGGAAATTTTTCAGTGAGGCACACTGAACCTTCATAATATACATTTAAAAAAACCCACGCATGTAAATCTAATACCATTATAACCGTCTTCCTGTAATTATAGCCTCCAAGGGTAAGTACATGAATGGTAAATTAAAAATGGCCATTTAAATTATTTTATGCAAAGCAAAGACTTAGGTGTCCTTGTTAAATGCCAATTGACAATGAAGTTAAATAATAAAACCTCATTTATTTAAATGCTACTTTATAAATCTTCTGAAGTCCAAGTCCTCTCACAATAGTGTACAGTAATTGGATTAAAACTACCTTCAAATACTTTCCACCACATCTTTTACATGAAACATCTTGCAAAACCCACAATGTCTATATAATCATTTTACAGTGATTACAAAAAACCCCCACCCAAACTATGGAATTAAATAAAAGTGGATTTGATATGTATTCTCCTCCCCAGCCAATGAAATCCTAGCACCATACAAAATATAGTGATATAAAACTGAGTGCTGGCTCTCCTTCTCTCTCTCTTTCTTTCATTTGAATAACCAAACAAATTATTTTCCAAAGCACGACTGTTAATATGCAGATTGGTTTCCAGAGTAGTTTCAATAATAACCTTTTTTTTTTCTTGCACTTTGCTTCAAGAAGAAAAGTGTGAAGTAAAAAGAAAAAAAAGAAAAAAGAAAAAAGAAAAAAGAAAAAAGAAAAAAGAAAAAAGAAAAAAGAAAAAAGAAAAAAGAAAAAAGAAAAAAGAAAAAAGAAAAAAGAAAAAAGAAAAAAGAAAAAAGAAAAAAGAAAAAGATACAGGAAATAAAGGCTGAAGGTCAATTAACAGTGAGTCCCCACGGAGGCAAAAGTGGACATTTCGCGACGGATGGTACTGAAAGGGGAGAGCTCCAGTTCTGTGGTGTACTCATTGTCATTGTCATCACTCGTCACTGTTGAAGATTTCTGGATGCATTCATCACAGCAGCAACAGCAACACTCCATAAAGGCCCGGCTGAAAGGTTTACAGAGACAGAAAAGGAGAACTGGGGTAACACAGGACTTAAAGAACAAAAGGAACTGACTAATGAGATGGAGGAGGTCCATAGTCTGCCGGGAGACCCCTGTGGACATGTAGGCAGTCACGATGTTGCAAATATTTTCGGGAATGATGCAAAACCCATATAAAATGGTCAGAGCCACCACTGTGCAGTTCATCTGACTTTCCAGCTGAATCTGTCGCTTGTTCCCTCTTGTGCAAGCCTTTTCTGCCCTCCTGATTTTCCTGGCTGTTACCAGGGAGCAGGTAATAGTGAACAGGGTAGGCAAACAAAAATAGCAGCCAAAGTACCACCAGAGTCTTGCCCCATCGTAAGTGAGAGCTAACACGTAGATGGTGTCGGGGAGCGCGGTGGATATCTTCACCACGCACCGCTCCCCCGGTGGGCTGCCGCTGTATTCGGGGTCCTCCTTGGTCAGCTGGCGCAGCACGACCTCCGGCAGGGCCAGCAGCAGGGCGCCCACCCAGATGACGGCCAGCTTGGCCGTGGTGGAGGTGCAGTTCTCGATCATCTCGTAATACATCTGCACGTTGGTGGCAGCACGGAACCGGTCGATGCAGAGGGCGCAGAGGGTGAACGTGGTGACTCCCAGAGAGGCCACCTGGGGAGGAGGAAAGGGCATGCAAGTTAGTACAGATGTTGTCTTGAAAAAAACAAAAAATACCTTCTCCCCCACTCCCCCCCCAAAAAAAAGGAAAAAAGGAAAAAAAAGGAGAGCTACAAGGGTACAATCCATTATATAGTGGGAAAACTTCATTTCCTTCAAAAGTCCCCTGTTCCCCTGTTGATGGCAATCTTCTTAGAGATGGAAGATGAAGGACTGAACTCACTCAGGCCAAAGAGGGAATTAATTTCTTCTACATTGGATGAAGGCTTTTACCATTGAGCTGTTCCCTGGAAGAGGTTTGTACTCTTTCATAGTTAAAGAGAGCTCAATTTGTACTCTGAAACACCAGTCAAGTCCAACCCCATGACTGACAAAGGCAAAGGAAAATCTAGTTTAGGGGTACCAGTGTAGGAGACAAGCACCATGGTGCTGAGCACCATCAAAAGAAGCATTACAGACAGAACTTAACTTCCAGTGTCTGCTGAACTGTCATCCAGCACACATCCCAAGAAAGTATATCCTTCCAGTTTTCTGCCTACAAATACTTATTTTAGCTAGGTGCCATCTTCTCCTGGAGATTTATGCAAGCATCCACCCATTCCACTGGGTGAAAAACACTGGGGAACTGACCGATATGCAAATCACAGAATGTAATATCCTTTCTCCCCCCCCCCCCCATTTTTTAAAGGGGGGTTTTTCGAAAGATTAGTTACACAAAATGTAATTTCCTTCCCCCCCCCCCCCCCCCATTTTTCTAAGGGGTGTTTTTCAGAAAGATCAGTTCCACCACCAGGGTTGGAATTCAAGTCAAGAGAGATGGGAGAGTCTTCTTTCAGCAGAGGTATCAACTCATGCCCACATTATATGTCATCAAACATGCAGGGAATCATAACATCAAAACCTTCCATATCTACAAAATTTAGGAACCTTACAGATTAAACATCTACCAAACGAAGCCAAGTGCAACAACTGATTTTGTGGACTTAGCTCCTAAGTGAAGTTTTGGTGGGATGTAGGCACATAAATTCATCCTGTACTGTGAGTTCAAAAAGACAATCTGAACTCTTTGGACTTTCAGAGCCTGTGCAAAAACTATCTTGACTGTAATAGTTCAGCTTTAATAATCTATCCTCAACATTTAATTTAGAAAAAATCCATAAACCTAGGAAAATCTAGGCTTAATTTCATAGGAAACATCCTATAGGAGCATGTACTGAAGGCCAGGAGAAATGGCAGAAATTTCACTGTTTAAATGATTTAAAGATGGATTGAACAGAGCTCTCTATTATGTACTGTAAGGAGCAAGTACAAAGCAATGCATATGTTCTTTAGCTTTAATAACCATCATTCTATGCATGAGTAGAAGTCTTGTACTGTCACAAAACATAATTTCCTATCATTTTATCCTGTTTATAATTAAATTTCCTAAAAACAAATTTGCAAGATGACTATGTACATTTTGGCTTAATCCTATTTCCAATAAATTCAACTTTAGTTCAAATTCCAAGCAGAACTCCCATTAGCTTAAATTGGAGAAAGATTAGGTGCCCTGTTGCATTCTAATTCATTTATTTCTGTGGGTTTGCATGCTCTGTTATGCTGAAAATATGTTAATGCAAAAAAAAAAAAAGAAACTGTTAAATAAAATTCCTTATAAATTTAAAGAATGATTACTTTTATCATGAATAAACCTTGTGTCTGTGGAATTAACTGGGAAATCTAGGGTAATAGTAGGCAGTTCACTATAATTTTTGCTTACCCAAATTTGACGTGCAATGATATATTTAAATTTCACATCTGTACATTTTAAAAAACGCTTTCTGATTTCCATAATTTTGAAATACTCCTGTTTATATATCTCTTGTAAAAAGTTCTGCAAAGATAGATAGTACAATTATGCACAATTACAGAAATGTGTCATTAATTTTGGCCTTCAATATTTAATGGCCATATCAGATTGCTAAAATTGAATATCACTGAAAAATATTAGGCACTTGGGATTAGAACTGTCAGGCATTGGCTTAGTTGGGGAATTCTTTGAAGCAGCTTCCTAAAAGATGAGTAAGATGCAATCTCTTACTAATTAACACGTAGGAATATTTAATGATGACAAAGCAGTACCGTAAACATTTTTAATAGGCAAATCTATTGATTTAGGAAGTTAAGCTGCCTGACAAGACTCAAAGAAAGCTTAGTAAATACAGGGGAAAAAAAAAAAAAAAAAAACAAACAAAAAAACAAATTACACTTACAGGGAAATCTTAATGAATAGTGATAAACTTAGCTAATGAGAGATAATTTTCATGTATCACTGCTGAAAGATAGATTTTTAAATTCAAGACTAGTGACTTTGTTTCCAAAACATTTAAATGTGTGCGCAGTCTTCAAATTCCTTAGAGTGACAGCAAAACCTTTAGCCAGAACATCCAACCTGAATAACAAAAGGGTCAGGATTCCGCTCCCTACAATTACAGGAGACAGGGAAATAACTGAGTCTCGGGAATGAACAGGGGATTTAAATAAGAATTCACCAGAACAGAAGAAAATCTGAGATTTTGTACATTTATATTCTCCCTCTCAGCTCTTACGTGAGCCTCTTCCCCCCGCCCCCAACGCACAGGCTTTTATGGCTTTAGCATTTCATTGCGAACAGGCTGCTTTACAGCAGCTAAGACATTAAAACTCTGCAGCTGTTAAGGCTGGACTAATGAAAGAAGACTTGTCTACCATGAACAAACATAACCTACGGGGTTCCTGTCACATTAATTGACCAACAAGTTGGAGGTTTAAGACAGTGAAATAGAGCAAGAGGAAACAACTAAGAACAGTGGAAGCCGGCTTTGAAAACTCTCCCGTGGATTCACTGATGAAACAGGCTAAACAAACCTAGTGTTTCTCTGGAACAGGCAATGGTTTCCTATTTTCTGCAGATTAATCTACAGATTTCTGTAAATTACTGTGGAGTAGGTAACGTCATGGAAAAGCTTGCAAAAAACCAACACTCCCAAGCAGGTGAACAAGGATTCACTCCAGCTGACTCGCTTAAAAGCAGTACAGCAATTTAAGGGTCTGATTACTTATCCCATATTGCAGACTATGAGTAAGAGCCAGCAAAATCAATGGGTGCTGCTCACAACCCATGTGGGTGAGAAATGGGACATGCATTCTGCACGTTCACACGATTTCGGTGTAGAGGTGTTTCTTCACACACTAATAATTAGGGTTAAGCTGAAAACGTCAAAGAAGCTAGACAAGCTACCTTTTAAATCTGTTACATTGCCCTGAAATAACCACATGAAGATAATTTGATGGGGAGTAAATAAAGGACAAATTAACACATCCTAAAGCTGTGCAAAGCTGCATGGAGTTTAATGGTGCTCTTCTTGTAACAGCTGAGTTTCTGCTATGCTGGTACGCTCTTGCAGTCTTAATTCCAGCAACCTGGCAGGAAATGAGGCAAGGCAAGGGCAAGTCAGGCTCAGTAGTTTTTGATCATCACTTAGTCATCTGATCTATTTCCATATGGTCCCTATGAAGAGTCTCCTTCAGTCTCTAGACATTCAGGATGACACCAGTCTACATCTTTCTCTTACTAGATGGTATCAGAAAAGTCCCCAAGTTTCTAAATGAATGACCACGGATTTCCTTTCAGGAAGTGGCGAAGTAACCCCTGTTTTGAGGGGGTGCCCACACAACTTGGGCAGAGAACTGCCGTTGAAGGGATTACCAGCTACAGCATACCTCCACTAAAGAAGACATTATTGTTACAACGGAGTCTCTTAATACCGTCGCTCCTTTAAAAGCATTGCCAGGGTTGTTAGAAGACACTGTGATGCTCCTTCAAGATGCTACATAAACCTTTGGTCATTAGCTCACCAGCTCTTAGTCAACTGTGTCAAAACTCTTTTGGGGAACTGAGGCCGGAGAGAACAGCAAACTCATGGAACGCCCAGCTTAATTGCATCAGTTCTCCTCTCTGTCCCTCCAACATACCCGTTCCCCTTTCATGAGTTTTAACAATTACCAAAATGTTCCCAGGCATTCCCTGGCCTGTCCTACTTCTTCTGGCTGTGGTCCCACAGCTCTTGGCCCTGGCCTCTAGGAACAGAGACTCAGGCTGACCAGGGAAGTGGCGAAGATGTACTATGGTCAGGAATGCCAGTGGACAGAAGACTCCAAATTCCCTCTCACTAATACCCGCTTGACTAGATAAAGGTGATGAAAACCAGAAATCAGAAATGAGATCAGAAAAGGTGACTTGGGTAAAATGGTGAACAAAGTCCAAAATCGGAGTGAATATAAAAAGGAGGTTGGGTCTCTCAAGCCAGTAAGACGAAGACCAAGACGTGATATTGCTGCTATCTACAAATAAGTCTATCTTGAGATACAAAAGTTACCTAAGCCAAAGGACAGTGAATGTAGCAGAATGGGAATCAACCAGTCATGAGCAACTTGAGGCTGGAAAGGAGAGAGACTATTAATCATCTCAGACATTAAGCACGCCTTCTGATGGATAAGTGAGGGCACACAATGGAGATTGAGTTCATATGGAACAAGATTAAATAAATGAGTTATAAGAAGCTCTAAGAAGCTGCTTCTACCAGCTGAAGCTGGATTTTCTAAGACAGAATAGATTTTATGCTGATAATAGAGAGTTTCTTAAACTGCATGGCACCCTTCCTTCCTTTGTTACAAGGCAGGACAGGTATTCAAAACATTTTTCTGTTGCAATAGGAAATCTGAACAACAGAAAAGGTTGATGACTACTAGCCAAGTCATCTCTGAGCTCTCAGTGACACTGTGTAAACTGTTTATAACCATTCCTGTTATATCATATAAACAACTAATCTTTTTCCCCCAAGCCGTTATAGACTATCATCTTATTGCGGCTTTTCTATATCTACATCAAACTTTATAGCCTTAAAGCAAGCTAATGCAACACAGAATCATAGAATGGTTTGGGTTGGAAGGGACCTTAAAGATCATCTAGTTCC